TACACCTGAACAAAATAACTGATAATTTATTCGTATTTTTTCTTGATCGCTTAGATATCATGAATTTCTCTCCCTAACCCTAACCCTAACTCTAACCGATTAAACCTAATAAAAAAAAAAAAAAAAATTAAATTAGTCCATTTATTAGGAAAACAAAAATGTATCACCAAAAACAAGTTTGCACCCAACCAAAGTTCCCTTTAAGCTGCCCGGTGGGCAATGTTCCCTTTAAGCTGCCCGGTGGGCAATGTTCCCTTTAAGCTGCCCGGTGGGCATTGTTCCCTTTAAGCTACCTGGTGGGCAAAGTTCCCTTTAAGCTGCCCGGTGGGCAAAGTTCCCTTTAAGCTGCCTGGTGGGAAATGTTCCCTTTAAGCTGCCCGGTGAGAAATGTTCCCTTTAAGCTGCCCGGTGGGAAATGTTCCCTTTAAGCTGCCTGGTGGGCAATGTTCCCTTTAAGCTGCCCGGTGGGTAATGTTCCCTTTAAGCTGCCCGGTGGGCAATGTTCCATTTAAGCTGCCCGGTGGGCAATGTTCCCTTTAAGCTGCCCGGTGGGAAATGTTCCCTTTAAGCTGCCCGGTGGGAAATGTTCCCTTCAAGCTGCCCGGTGGGCAATGTTCCCTTTAAGCTGCCCGGTGGGCAATGTTCCCTTTAAGCTGCCCGGTGGGAAATGTTCCCTTTAAGCTGCCCGGTGGGAAATGTTCCCTTCAAGCTGCCCGGTGGGCAATGTTCCCTTTAAGCTGCCAGGTTGGCAATGTTCCCTTTAAGCTGCCCGGTGGGAAATGTTCCCTTTAAGCTGCGCTGCTACGGTGGGCAATGTTCCCTTTAAGCTGCGCTGCTACGGTGGGAAATGTTCCCTTTAAGCTGCGCTGCTACTGTGGGCAATGTTCCCTTTAAGCTGCGCTACTACGGTGGGAAATGTTCCCTTTAAGCTGCGCTGCTACGGTGGGCAATGTTCCCTTTAAGCTACGCTGCTATTGTGGGAAATGTTCCCTTTAAGCTGCGCTGCTACTGTGAGCAATGTTCCCTTTAAGCTGCGCTGCTACGGTGGGCAATGTTCCCTTTAATCTGCGCTGCTACGATGGGAAATGTTCCCTTTAAGCTGCGCTGCTACGGTGGGAAATGTTCCCTTTAAGCTGCGCTGCTACGGTGGGCAATGTTCCCTTTAAGCTACGCTGCTATTGTGGGAAATGTTCCCTTTAAGCTGCGCTGCTACTGTGGGCAATGTTCCCTTTAAGCTGCGCTGCTACGGTGGGCAATGTTCCCTTTAAGCTGCGCTGCTACGATGGGAAATGTTCCCTTTAAGCTGCGCTGCAATCTCACAGACGCGCAGCAGTTTTGAGTATCTGCGCAGCAAATTTTCATAAAATAAATTCGAACACATATGCTGCACTTTGCAATTTTTAATTTGACTCGGATCTATAATATTGTCTTCCACTTTTTACGTAGAACTATTGATTTCCATACTTACCAATACATACCGGGTCAAGCTAGCCTCGTTCTGAGCTACCGCCGCCATTCATGTAAATTTCATGGCGCATACTGCGCTGTGAATGTGTATAATGAAATAAAACGCATATCTCTAGTTGATTATAAATGTAAGAGCGAATTGTTTTTAATAATGATTTAACTGTTAAGTCTTAACGTTAGTTAAGCGAACTGTCAGAGTTATCGCTTGCTAAGAAAAAGTGTAGCTCAAATTTTAAAACGGAATGTCTCAATGAATTTGTGCATGCAGCACTACCAGGTTCGTCGTCAGAGCGGACTGTCAAGCTGGGTGATATTTTTAAATACCATGAAATTGATGATGATCTCGTCTGTGAAATGTGCTTCAAAGCTTATGCAGATGGCGGTTTCTCCACATGGAAAAGGTGGGAGGCTTTGAAGCTGGACTATTTTAAACGACATATCAAGCAAAAAATACACACAGATGCTGTACAGAGACTTCGCTCTATAAAGGAGCTGTACTGCGAATGCTTACAGAAAGTGTTGTTGATCGAAGCATGATACAAGAAGCAGCACAGCATAAAAGTGCTAAAGAAGACCAGGTTAAAATTTGGATTGACAACATCCTCTTGGCTCTCAACATGAACACATCTATGGATGCAGTTCAATACATACACAACAATATGGCTCCGGATGTCCCAGTCCCTGTTGGCTGGCGCAGTAAGAATTATGCTTTTCAGTGTGTTGATTCTATCGACTCTATAGTGAAGGATACTATAATTAGGAACTTTGCAATGCAAAGTTCCTCACATTAACATTAGATGATATATCACGGACAAAAAATGTTGATCTTATGCGCAAAGTTTCAGCCATGTCCAGGTAATGTTTACAAGACAGTGTTTGTTGGGCTTTTGTCTATGTCGGCTTGTGACAGTAAATAAATGGAACCAGCAATAGCAGAGTTTTATCAAGAGCATATGGAACCAGCAATAGCAGAGTTTTATCAAGAGCATTCGCTGGATATGCAGAAAATGGTTATGTTTACCTCTGATGGTGCATCAGTTATGCAATGCAAGAAACACGGAGTAGTAGCAATTATTCACCGACGTATTCCCCATCTACTGGAGCAACATTGCGCTGTTCATCGCGAAGATTAAGCATCGATGATGCTTGAAAACATATACGTTTGATGGAAGACATTGAAACATTCCTTAGGACTGTGTACACATTGTTCAGTAGTTCAATAGTACGGCAAGCCTAATTTACATAATTAGCTACGGTGCTGGAATTTTGATTCCGTAGCCTTTAGACCAGGCCCGCACAACTCAAAATGTAAGGTGGGCCGTAATACTTTATGAAAAACGTGTGCGGTCCAAAAGAAAATAGGGCAAGGCGAAAGCTATTAAGAAAATAATAAGTATAAAGAATATTTCGTTACTTCGCGGGCCGCAAAGTGGGTGCTGGCGGGCCGTATGTTGTGCAGGCCTGCTTTAGACCATTAAATGAAATCAGATGGCTTTCGCGGCAATTGGCTTTACGAGCATTGCTGAGAAACATACAAGTGTTGACTGAATACTGTTAGGAGCAGGTGGGCCTGTATAATGATCCAGTTCATAAGTACTGTTTGAAGAAACTAAGGGATCCGCATTTTCGAACTGCACCGGTTGTCTTCGATGAAGTTGTTGGTGAACTTGCTGAATTATGCAAGCTGCTACAAAGAGAAATCTTACGACCATCGAGGCATACCAGTTTGTAAAAGCAAGGATTGCTAAGCTCCTTGCCCAGTTCCTTGGTGAAAATGTGCACTAGTCCGAAGTGGTGGCCGAATTGCTTGCAAATGACGAGCGTTAATCAACACTTCATATTTTAATGCTGGCCAAGAAGAACTTGCAGCAGATCACGAAAAACTTGCAGCAGATCAAGAAGAACTTGAAGCAGATCAAGAAGAACTTGCAGCAGATCAAGAAGAACTTGCAGCAGATCAAGAAGAACTTGCAGCACATCAAGAAGAACTTGCAGCAGATCAAGAAGAACTTGCAGCAGATCAAGAAGAACTTGAAGCAGATCAAGAAGAACTTGCAACAGATCAAGAAGAATTTGAAGCAGATCAAGAAGAACTTGCAGCAGATCAAGAAGAACTTGCAGCAGATCAAGAAGAACTTGAAGCAGATCAAGAAGAACTTGCAGCAGATCAAGAAGAACTTGAAGCAGATCAAAAAGAACTTGAAGCAGATCAAGAAGAACTTGAAGCAGATCAAGAAGAACTTGCAGCAGATCAAGAAGAACTTGCAACAGATCAAGAAGAACTTGCAACAGATCAAGAAGAACTTGAAGCAGATCAAGAAGAACTTGCAGCAGATCAAGAAGAACTTACAGAAGATTAAGAGGAACTTGCAGCAGATCAAGAAGAACTTGCAGCAGATCAAGAAGAACTTGCAGCAGATCAAGAAGAACGTGCAGCAGATCAAGAAGAACTTGAAACAGATCAAGAAGAACTTGAAGCAGATCAAGAAGAACTTGAAGCAGATCAAGAAGAACTTGCAGCAGTTCAAGAAGAACTTGCAGCAGTTCAAGAAGAACTTGCAACAGATCAAGAAGAACTTGCAACAGATCAAGAAGAACTTGCAGCAGATCAAGAAGAACTTGCAGCAGATCAAGAAGGACTTGCAGCAGATCAAGAAGAACTTGCAGCAGATCAAGAAGAACTTGCAGCAGATCAAGAAGAACTTGCAGCAGATATGCGGCATTCCTGGAAAACTATGATGACATTTTGCCGAACGTTAAGGATCAGTATCGTAACTTAAGATTTATGCTTGCAGAAAAAAATAAAAATAAATATGGGTTGAGGCAGACTTTCGACAGGATGGTTTGATTTATAATAAATAAGGAGCAATTCAGCGACATCGCCATTCTGTTGGATATCTGTGCTACATTTCTTGCATCAAGCGCCGATTGTGAACGTTGATCCAGCCTAATGAATAAAATAAAAAAGGCTTGAAGTATCACATTTAGACATGCTTATGAGGATTACATTTTATCAGAATGATGGACATCAGATCAACCTTTACGATGTGTATAAAATAGAGATATCGTTGAAAGACAGACGCCAGAGTACCTCCAGAAACAAATCAATAAAAAAACTAGCGGCCATTGGTAGTGGGTGTGTTGGAGTTTAGTTGCTTGATCCAACGACGGGGTAAATAATAGAAATAAATATAGCGTCGATTGAACTATTGTGACACTTCTCATTGTAATTATTTAATTATTGTTCCTTTACATAAATGTTTGTGCACTTAAGTTAAATTTTGTAATTTCCGTGTGTGTTTGTGGGCTGTAAAATTTTGCACCCAAAAATTGATGCTGTAAAACTGTGCACACAACTGTAGGATTTTGCACACGAACCAGCAAACCTTAGAGGGAACATTGTACCCAACCCCCCTCCAACCCTCCCAGCCATCTTAAAAAAAGAACTATCGAAAGTCAATCTAGATAATAGTTAGACCTTACTAATTAATGAAAACCTTGTCATCGAAAGGTTCACTCTATGAAAGGAAACTACCGTGGACAACAGATAAGCTATCAAGTCGCAAAATGGCGATACACGGCACAGCAGTAGTTGCGCTTGTAATTCTGATTGCTGCCCCTGTTTCTTCACAAACAAGAAAGATATTTAAAAGTAAGCATAGTAACAATGAAGTCCCTTTAAAACCATTAAACATGATTTTGTGCAAATCTAATGCACTACACAAGGCCCAAGCTGAAAAGGGACCGCACTGACCAAGCACCGCACTGCATTAGCACCGCCCTGCACAAGGCCCGCACTACACAAATCCCGCACTGCACAAGGCCCGCACTACACAAGGCCCGCACTACACAAGGCCCGCACTATACAAGGCCCAAACTGCACAAGGCCTGCACTACACAAGGCCCGCACTGCACAAGGCCCTCACTGCACAAGGCCCGCACTACACAAGGCCCAGCACTGCAAAGGCCTGCACTGCACAAGGCCTGCACCGCACAAGGCCTGCACCGCACAAGGCCTGCACTAAAAAGGCCCGCACTGCACAAGGCCCGTACCACACAAGGCCCGCACTACACATGGCCCGCAGTACACAAGGCCCACACTGTACAAGGCCGGCACTGCACAAGGCCCACACTGTACAAGGCCCACACTGCACAAGGCCCACACTGCACAAGGCCCGCACTACACAAGGCCTGCACTACACAAGGCCTTCACTGCACAAGGCCCGCACTGCACAAGGCCCGCACTACACAAGGCCTGCACTACACAAGGCCTTCACTGCACAAGGCCTGCACTACACAAGGCCTGCACTACACAAGGCCTGCACTGCACAAGGCCCGCACTACACAAAGCCTGCACTACACAAGGCCTGCACTGCACAAGGCCCGCACTACACAAGGCCTGCACTACACAAGGCCTGCACTGCACAAGGCCTGCACTGCACAAGGCCTGCACTGCACTTACGTTCTCGGTTATGGCTAATGAGGGGTTAAGGGGTGGGTGCGCCCAGGGCGCCATTTATATCAGGGTGGCATTTTTAGTCTGCTTTATAAACTATATTGATTGATTTTAATGGATTGTCGTTTTCAGTGATTGAGAACGGCAAGGTGAAGGACGCGCTCTGTGCTTCGTAATCTCTAGACTTACCTTCTTACGTTTAAATAGAATTTTAATATATTCAATTTATATTTTGATCCAGTTCATGTTTTAATGATTAAAAAAATGCTTTTATCCCTACAGATACAACATGCACAGATAATTGGTTTGGGTCAAGATGTCAGTACCTGTGTCACTGTAAGACCAGTGGCTGTACAGATGGACGATGTCCTGATGGGTATGCTAGAGGATGGTTTGGACCACAATGCCAGTACCGTAAGTTGGTAAAACCGATGGCTGTACAATCAGTTGCTCAATGAAGTAATCACTTCATATTTGACAAAGCAAAATTTTGCTTTATGATGGAATAATAACATTTTTTATCTTAAAGAATGAAAATAAAAACTATTTTCAATTGATGAAATAATAAAATAAAAGGACCAAGGCCTTGTGGATATTTTTTTAAATATTTATCTAAAACATTTAAAAATTAGAATTTAAAAACTAGAATTCTAATAGGATGTGAAAAATTATAAATTGTGAATGATTTATTAAAATTATTAGAACGTAGTAAATAAATAATATCGCTGGTAACATTGTCTTCATCAGTTGACATTGCAAAGAATGCTACTACGATGAGTTCAACCATTAATGATGGCGATGAGAGTACATGTTACCCTATGCAACCTGCAGGTGTCTCTTTTACTTGGCGTGACCCTATCTCATTCACCTGGATGAGGCTACAATTCAAGAATGCTGGTAAAATGCAATTATATTGTAACTAAATAAGCACTTATAAACCTGCCTGTAACTAAATAGGCACTTATAAGTCTGTCTGTAACTAAATGGGAACTTATAAGCCTGTTTATATTTTATTAAACCTATCACGTTTTTGTTGAATTGTCAAATAATTGTTGATTAACATCTTTTTCAGTTTCCCCTGCAGCAATCGATGTTAAAATCTACCAAAACACAGATCACGTGTGTGCCCACCCCACCAAGGCCGTTATCACCAACAAAACAGTGGACGTGTATAGTGTGATGGCCGCAAAAAAAGTGACCCACCTGAACATTACTTCAGCAGAAGGTTCACAGCTGTGCTCTGTCTACGTTAGTAGGGGTAAGTCTTACATTGCATATCATATATTGAATTAAATGAAAATTATAATTTATACATCTCAGAGTTCAGGGTTGAGGTCAAATCTAAGGAACGGGCGTATCTACTTAAGTAGCGTCGGCAGTTATTGTGCAAGCTTAAAACCACTTCAGGCAAATAAATTATCGTTTGACCAGGTTTAAAATCTATCCCAGCAACCTCCCGAACTTGAGCATAGTTTAATGTTGAGTACCGGACATACTTCGTGTTGGGGCTCAAAGTTGGTCTAGGGGCAGGGGTTTTCAACCCTTTGTATCAACACTCCTGGTATCGTTCTTAAAATACAGATAGATTTTAAATTATTAGAAGTAAGTTGAACCGCAGATGTCTTTCAAGATCACTTTTAAAGATCTGATGACGCAGTTTAATTGGGTCACGAGAACAAATTTTGTGACACTGCTCCAGATAACAATATCTGCAGACTCACTGCAGCTCACAAAAAAACAACAACAACAAACAACCGAGTTGACAACCATTCTGCAAATTTGAAATAGTATTTTAAAAATTGACGAGTCTGTGTAAGTCCGTAAGGACTTTGTGATGTTTGATTAAATATGAGATATGCACATCTCCGTGTGTTTCTACATGATATATATGCACATTACGGTGTGTTTCAATAAAAAAAGAGATATATATACATCACAATGTAATTTAATATGAGAGATATGCACATCACAGTTCGTTTAAATATGAGAGAGATGCACATCACAGTCTATTTAAATATGATAGATATGATCATCAAAGTTTATTTCAATAGGATTGATATGCACATCAAATGGTATTTCAAAATGAGAGATATGCACATCACAGTGTGTTTCAATATGAGAGATATGCATATCACAGTTATCTCCAGTATTTGAGATATGCACATCACAGTGTGTTTCAATATGAGAGATATGCACATCACAGTGTGTTTCAATATGAGAGACATGTACATCACAGTGTATTTCAATATGAGAGATATGCACATCACAGTGTGTTTCAATATGAGAGATATGCACATCACAGTGTGTTTCAATATGAGAGATATGCACATCACAGTGTGTTTCAATATGAGAGATATGCATATCACAGTTATCTCCAGTATTTGAGATATGCACATCACAGTGTGTTTCAATATGAGAGATATGCACATCACAGTGTGTTTCAATATGAGAGACATGTACATCACAGTGTATTTCAATATGAGAGATATGCACATCACAGTGTGTTTCAATATGAGAGATATGCACATCACAGTGTGTTTCAATATGAGAGATATGCACATCACAGTGTGTTTCAATATGAGAGATATGCACATCACAGTGTGTTTCAATATGAGAGATATGTACACCACAGTGTGTTTCAATATGAGAGATATGCACATCCCAGTGTGTTTCAATATGAGAGATATGCACATCACAGTGTGTTTCAATATGAGAGATATGCATATCACAGTTTGCTCCAGTATTTGAGATATGCACATCACAGTGTGTTTCAATATGAGAGATATGCATATCACAGTTTGCTCCAGTATTTGAGATATGCACATCACAGTGTGTTTCAATATGAGAGATATGCACATCACAGCGTGTTTCAATATGAGAGATATGCACATCACAGTGTGTTTCAATATGAGAGACATGTACATCACAGTGTGTTTCAATATGAGAGATATGCACATCACAGTGTGTTTCAATATGAGAGATATGCACATCACAGTGTGTTTCAATATGAGAGATATGCACATCACAGTGTGTTTCAATATGAGAGATATGCACATCACAGTGTGTTTCAATATGAGACAAGGCTGCAGTCAGCAAAGGAAAGGAAAACTGTGGTTCTTGAGCATATCGTTGCCAGTTGCTCATCAATGGCTCTGCAACATGATTTCAAAGACTTTTGTGAACACCCACTCTACGGTTTGACCCACCATCCTCATTCATGCAAATGGTTTGTCCCACTCAGTTTGCCATCGAGTGAACTACTTTTCCCACAAAGAAAGAAAACCTATTAATCTCACTCTTTGCAATGAACTTTGCTTCTTTGTGTACGTCAGTTCCTCTACGTTTTCAGTCTATGTAGCTCCTGGCGGGCAGTGCTCGGTGTGGCATTTGCGTAATGAAGCATTGTTCATTCCATGCCCGTTCCCATCAGGGGTCGCTCTTACCCGGTTGTGACATGTTGCGGCAGAGCTTTCGAGTCGTTTCCCCTACCACCCAGCAGTTGAGCCATTCTTCGCGAAATTGATCTTTGAGTCAGTCTTTGACAGCCATTTGCGTCATTGGCCTGGCGTGTTGCGGCTGTGCTGCACTATTTTGCTCTCTCGTTTTGCGTCTGATCCACTTGACAAGGGACCCATTGCAGGATGACCACGCCGTCATGTGCGTGTATGTCGTCTATTGTTTACAGAATGTTAGGGAAATACAAAAATTGCTTCGATTTTTACCTCAAAGTTTTCCTTTTTTTCCACCTAGCCCTGAAATCTCCTTTGGTAGATTTAACTCCTGACCCCAAATCCTAGTTACTCCACGAGTACACCATAACCAGCCCGGTTCTTGTTTGGGAAACATGAGCCATGAGTAAAGACTTGAACCACTTGGTCCATGTAGATTGCAGAGGCTTGGACAGGGATCAATGGAACATCTAACTCTCCCTAGATAAAGAGCTCTTAAAAAGATTGCATCGGCTCCCCAGTAGTGCAGCCTGGCTCCCCTTTGATGCAACCTGGCTCCCCAGTAGTGCAGCGTGGCTCCCCAGTGATGCAACCTGGCTCCCTAGTAGTACAGCATGGCTTCCCAGTAGTGCAGCCTGGCTCCCCAGTAGTGCAGCCTGGCTCCCCGGTAGTGCAGCATGGCTCCCTAGTAGTGCAGCATGGCTCCCCAGTAATGCAGCCTTGCTCCCCAGTAATGCAGCCTTTCTCCCCAGTAGGGCAGCATGGCTCCCCAGTAGTGCAGCCTTTTTACCCAGTAGTGCAGCCTTTTTACCCAGTAGTGCAGCATGGCTCCCCAGTAGTGAAGCCTTTCTCTCCAGTAATGCAGCCTGGCTCCCCAGTGATGCAATCTAGCTCCCAGTAGTGCAGCCTTTCTCCCCGGTAGTGCAGCATGGGTCTCTAGTAGTGCAGCATAGCTCCCAAGTAGTGCAGCATGGCTCCCCAGTAGTGCAGCCTGGCTCCCCAGTGATGCAACCTGGCTCCCCAGTAGTGCAGCATGGCTCCCCAGTAGTGCAGCATAGCTCCCCATTAGTGCAGCCTGGCTCCCCGTAGTGCAGTCTGGCTCCCCAGTAGTGCAGCCTGGCTCCCCAGTAGTGCAGCCTTGCTCCCCAGTAGTGCATGTCAGTTTCTTCACCAGATTCAGTGTATACTTAGCTTTGGGACATCATTCACATGTGTAGCTGGATTCTTCTCCATTTATGTTTGGTTCCACTTCCTGCTAATGAGCTTTGTGAAACAAAGATTGTTGCCTATCTAAATGCCTTTATAGCGAGCATTGTACATTCCGCCCACTAATTAATATGTATCGCCCCACCTGTTACTTTTGGTCAATCTCTTGTTGTGTAAAAAAATTATTTTAGTGGGGTAAAGAAATTCGGAAACTTATTAAACGAAATATTCAAAGAATAAAACATTTGATTATTTTGGCTAAGGACTTTAGTTCAAAGATGAGAATTGTTTTAGGATCGTTGTGGTACTCCGGTGTTCTGTACCACTGTCCTAGTGGGGTGCATTTGCTAATTAGTTATTCGTGGTACTCAGGTGTGCTGTACCACTGTCCTAGTAGGGTGCATTTGCCAAATAGTTATTCGTGGTACTCAGGTGTGCTGTACCACTCTCCTAGTGGGGTGCACTTGTCAAATAGTTATTCGTGGTACTCAGGTGTTCTGTACCACTGTCCTAGTGGGGTGCATTTGCCAATTAGTTATTCGTGGTACTCAGGTGTGCTGTACCACTGTCCTAGTGGGGTGCACTTGCCAAATAGTTATTCAACCAGCTTCACAGAGCAAACACTGAAGTTATTTTTTAAAATGACAAACACTTTAATACATTGACTTGGGTATGATTTTGATAGGTAAAAAAATACAATTCAGAGTTTACAAGTATAGTAATATTCATTTTTTATCAAAGGTGACTCATGCAACTTTAATAACGCTACTTTCTCTAAAAGCATTCAAAATATAATTTACTTCTAAAAAAAAAAAATATAAAAAAATACAACATTGTAACTCCACAAACATGTATTAATACATAATACACGATCGTGCATGTGAATGCAGGATCTAAATAATTGGCGCCGTTACACACAGCAACAAAGTAAATGTTAACTAGCACAGCGTCTGTGTATTTTATCATTGATAATGTGTAGCAAATATATAAAACAAGAAAGGTGGAAATCTGGCTGACATTTTGTGTCCATGAGGACAGCATTCATCTTGCTGTCATCTAGCTTTCCTTTTGCTCCCACCTTGATGTCCTCTTGTTCTCCTCTTGCTGTCATCTTGTTCTCCTCTTGCTGTCATCTTATTCTCCTCTTGCTGTCATCTTATTCTCCTCTTGCTGTCATCTTATTCTCCTCTTGCTGTCATCTTATTCTCCTCTTGCTGTCATCTTATTCTCCTCTTGCTGTCATCTTATTCTCCTCTTGCTGTCATCTTATTCTCCTCTTGCTGTCATCTTATTCTCCTCTTGCTGTCATCTTATTCTCCTCTTGCTGTCATCTTATTCTCCTCTTGCTGTCATCTTATTCTCCTCTTGCTGTCATCTTATTCTCCTCTTGCTGTCATCTTATTCTCCTCTTGCTGTCATCTTATTCTCCTCTTGCTGTCATCTTATTCTCCTCTTGCTGTCATCTTATTCTCCCCTTGCTGTCCTCTTGTTCTCCTCTTGCTGTCATCTTATTCTCCTCTTGGGTACAACATTTCAGGTAAATTTTTATTTTTTTATATTTTCATTACTCTTTCTTTGTACCGTTCCCTGGAGAAGGCTTCTTGCCGACACTTTTGTTGTTAAGGTGTGTCCATTTTTCAGGTTTCCCGTACCTTAATTTACACATTTCCTTGCACCTAACCTTTTTTCAGTCTCTCTTCCCCCCCCCCTCCCCCCAATCAACCTATACACTCATTGATATATAATAAAACAATTTAAATAAACAGTACATGATTGCTTTTTTCTAATCTAAACAATTTCACAATAATTTATATTTTCGTAACTTAATGGAACTTTTGAATTAATGTTGCTTGTTTAGGTCGAAACATTGCTTTGAAACAGAATACGTCACAGGCAGGAACTTACAGAAACAAAGATATACCAGCTTCTATCTCAAAATCTAAAAATGCCGTGGATGGTGACAGAAATGCCAACTTTAGTGCAGGCAGCTGTACTCACACTAGAACCACGGAAACTGCCAATTGGACGTTGAACTTTGCTCTCCCCCACTACGCCGATACTTACGTCCTATACAACCGACAGGGTAAGCCTTACATTTAAAACGAGGGATTCTTCAAATTATTTGACTATACTTGTACTCAGGGGCGTAGCTGCGTGTGCGGTGGTGAGAAATGCATCGGGTGACACCAACCCTGGCTACGCCAATACTTGCACCATATATAGTAGGATATTTTCAACAACGTGTTTGAAAAATGTTTTAGTAGGATTAATCTTTGTTAAGAAGACTCATCATGTTTAATGTTGTAGCAATGGTATATAAATGGGCAGTAGCGATGGTATATAAATGGGCAGTAGTGGTGGTATATAAATGGGCAGTAGCGATGGTATATAAATGGGCAGTAGCGATGGTATATAAATGGGCAGTAGCGATGGTATATAAATGGGCAGTAGCGATGGTATATAAATGGGCAGTAGCGATGGTATATAAATGGGCAGTAGCGATTGTATATAAATGGGCAGTAGCGATGGTATATAAATGGGCAGTAGCGATAGTATATAAATGGGCAGTAGCGATGGTATATAAATGGGCAGTAGCAATAGTATATAAATGTACAGTAGCGATGGTATATAAATGGGCAGTAGCGATGGTATATAAATGGGTAGTAGCGTTATAGATTCGTGTATTCAACACATAATAATTGTGTCCGTCATATGGCAAACAATGATTTTGATTTAGGTCGATATATTCCGTCATCGTCTCAACTGTCACATCTTTTAAAAAATCTTTTACTCACAAACTCATACCGAACAATACCTACCCACTTATGCCTTTCTACCCCATTTGGGGAATAAGTCGTCTACAAGAATTTTCCATTCATCACGGTCCTGTGTTTTCCTTTCCAATTGCTTCCAGGTGTATCCCATATTTTGCGTGTCTACCTCTAGCTCGCGTCTGCATGTCTTCTTTGGGCTTCCTCTCTTTCTTTTTCTCTCTTGTTTCCATGTTAGGCATTAGCTGGTGGTGATATCTGGGGGTTTTCAGAGCGTATGCCCTATCCACCTCCATCTTTTCTTTATGATATCTTCATCAATGGGCGCCTGGTATGTCCTTTCTAGTAGATCTTTGTTGGTGATAGTATTTGGCCATTTGATTTTCAGGATCTTTCTAAGGCATTTGTTTAAGAATGTCTGCACTTGCTGTATAATGCTCACTGTTGTTTTCCAAGTTTCTGCACATAATAGTAGGACTGCTTTGACATTCGTATTAAAGATTCTGACTTTGGTTTGCAGTTTCAGCTCCTTCGAATTCCATATTTTCTTTAAAAGCAAAAACTCTGATCTATCTTTTCCAATTCTGGCCCTTACGTCCGCATCGGATCCACCATTTGTGTATATGGTGCTTCCTAAATAATTGAAGGATATCACTTCTTCCAGTGCCTTTCCTGCCAGAAAAATATGTTCTTGGTTGGATTAGTTTACCTTCATGATTTTTCTCTTGCTTTTATTTATATTGAAACCAAGCTGTGCTGAAATGGTGGCTACGTCTTTTCTCTTTTCCTGTATTTGTTGCTGGTTGTGGGACAGAAGTGCAATGTGTCTGCAAAGTCTAAATCATTCAATTGTTCCCTGAGTGTCCACCTTATCCCATTCCTGTTTTTGTCTGTGGATTTTTTCATTATCCAGTCAATGGCAAGGATGAATAGAAGTGGGGACAAGAGGCATCCTTGTCTGACTCCTGTTGCGACTGCAAAGGAATCTGTGAGTCTACCTTCGTGGACCACCCTGCATGTCATTTCTTCATAAGACCTCTGAATAATCCTGACTAGTTTCCCTAGTATTCCTTAGTGCCGAAGAAGTTTCCACAAGGTTTGTTATGGAACGCATTTTAATAGTCTACAACATTTAAATATAGCGTTTCATTCGATTGAGTGTTCTACGATGATTCTTAGTGTTGCAGGTTGATCTGTTCATGATCGGTTTTGACAGAAGACATCCTGTTGATATCATTGCTGCATGTCGACCTGGTCTCTCATTCTATTCAAAATAATTCTGTTAAGACCTTTCTTGGTAGAGACAGCAGTGTGATTCCTCTGTAATTTGCACAGTTGCTGAGATCCCCTTTCTTTGGTAGCTTGATGAGGTGTCCTTCTTTCCAATCATTTGGAACTGTCTCTTCTTGCAATACCTTTTCAAACAGAGGGTGCAGCCTGATGCATATTGTATCTCTATCAGCTCTTATCATCTCTGCTGTGATGTTATCCGGTCCCGATGATTTCCCTTTTTTGATCTGCTTGATGGCCAGAGCTGTTTCTTCCTTATTTGGTGCGCTTTCTTCTATTTGTAAGTCATCTTTTGCTGGTTGTATGTCTGGTGTGTCTGTGGGTTGGGGTCTGTTTAATAGTTCCTTAAAGTATTCCATCCATCTTTTCTGTTGCTCTTACCCACCAATAGACCGTTACAATTTCAGTCAGGATAGACCTGACATAAACATTGTTTTCGCTATGCCTCGCTTGATCAGTTTTCTCCATGGCTTCCCTATTATTGTCTATATTAAAGGTCCAGTATGTATAGTTCGTATTTTATCCATTAACCCATTCACAGCGGTCTACCAGGCGCATTTATAGCAAAACCTTTCACTAAGCACAATGACTTTCCCCAAGGTGCTCGTAATCATGTGGGCAGTGAATGGCACAAACGTGCTCAGCAGACGGCAACAGCATTTTTGAGGATCATTAGGAATCAGATCAACATATGCAAAGTTAGATAGACAAGTCTATTTCTCATAAGATTTGAATTCCAAAACTCCTTTCAATTCTAATATAATGGTTTTTTTAATGTCATTTTTCTGTTTTTCGTTTTGCTCAATGTTATGTGAAGCGTCATGAGCCTAGCCCTTGGGTACCGTGCTATATAAGACCACATTAATAATAATAATAATAATAACCTTTTGCGGATATTATCAACAATCATTTTCTGCGGAACACACGACATGGCACTTCGTGGTAAAAATAGTGACAGTGGAAATTGATCATGATCTGTTTTAGTTTAGAAAGGAGTGTAAGACCTGGAGACACATTTTCAGACGTCCGTTGGTAATGGTCGTTATACTTCTCATAGAGATCCCAAATCGAATTATATACATGTGATGGCGTCATTGAGATATGTGATGGCGTAATTGAGATATGGGATGACGTCATAGAGAAATGTGATGGTGTCATAGAGAGATTTGAAGGCGTCATAGAGAAATGTGATGGCGTAATAGAGAAATGTGATGGCGTCGTAGGGACATGTGAGGAAGTAATAAAGAAACAACTTCTTACATCAAAAAGGAATACTTTAAGATTCTCAATGTTAGCCAATACAACTGCTGAGATACCACGATACCAATGTCGTTGGCGGTACGCTCTGTAGACAACGTAGATAATGCATGTATAACTCGTGAAGAATGTATCAGATTCCAAACACTGGAGCTACAATTACAGATGCTATTATGAATCAATGCATTCAATATAATATGGGCATGGCAAAATTACTTGGACAATGATATCAATGTTTAAAGCGCCAAGATTCTCACCAGCTATTGTGTTCATGTTCAGTTCTCGTAAGTCTGTGCTCTAGTTCTCTCTCGTCTTGGCTATTGTAACTCTCTTCTATCAGGTTCACCAAAACATTTCTTAGAAAAGTTACAAAAGGTTCATAACTCAGCCGCTATTCTAATTCTTAAGGCAAGAAAACGTGATCACCTCACTCCATTACTCCACTCACTTCATTGGCTCCCTCTGCAAGCATGGATTGACTACAAACTCTCTCTTCTCTACCACAACTTTTTCTCGACTTCCTCTCCTTCCTATCTAAAAAAACTTATCTCTGTCTATGCACCCCCTCGACAGCTTCACTCCTCTTCAGGCTCGCGTATTCTTTCTGTCCCCAAGACTCGCACTAAACTTACTACGAACGATCGTTCTCTCTCTGTGCCCCCCAACAATGGAATTCTCTTCCACTACACACCCACAATATTCGACCATCACATTCTTCCAAACTGCACTCAAAACACATCTCTTTAGAATCTACTATCGTGACTGATCCCCCTACTCCGCCGACCAATAAACGATGCTGCTGGGCGCTGTTCATGGCTTGACATGTAAATAGTTCTGGAATGTGTGGAGTGAATATACATTTGTTGTTTTTTTTTAAATTAATGTATGTTAATTTTTAAGTTCATGATTATGTTTGTTTAATTGTATGTATAGTTGTGATCCCAGCCCTAGGCTGGTGTAACGCGCTATAAAAAAAAACCCAATAATAATAAACATAATAATTATCTCTACATACTCATTGATACTGGAACCAGTAACTCAATCATTGCAAGCCCTACAGCCGGATTTGATAAGTGTACATAAACATATTTGTAAATAAACCGACATTTCCTTGAACATCGTCAGAGAGTTGAAACCCAGTTTATGACAAATATTTATGGAAAAGTCTCGGCTCTTGCAGCTTTTAAAAATGTTTATCAAAAATACATTTTATTTTTACGGTCTACTGAAACACGTCACAAATACAAAGCATATAACACAAGCTACACAATTAATCTCACACCCAAAACACGCGAAATTGGAATAAATTAATTACATTTCATTAATCTTCCCCTCAAAAAAAGTAAAAACTTATTTTCGTTTTTTTTTTTTTGGCTTAAAATTTTAAAGATTGTGTTGTCATCGGCAACGAGTCTATGTGCCAAGTTTCAGTGACCTCAAGTGGGTCAATTAGCCACTCCAAGACTTTGTCTTAAACCCACGAACAAAGCGAAGTGAATATGTAGGATTTAAAAATTAATTTTAGTTTTGACATATTTGGTTAAGCATTTTGGACATCTGAATGCACAAAATTAATCCCAGATTCTGATTACGATTGCAGCAATAAACGATTTCTGCTCGGATTATCTTTCTTGTAATACAGTCCAGAAACCCGCCTCCTGTTACAACCTTCTCTGGAACAGCCATCGTCATATCTTTGGATGGGCTTAGGAAGATGGGGGTAGAGGAAGTTGCACATTTTTGAGGGAAGAGAATGGGAGTCCTCAGCATAAATTAAACATGGCTTATTGTTGTGGTGCAAATTTTGTGGTCTTGGTAGGGGATTGGAGGCAAAATAAAGGACAACCACTGGGGCTCACTCATCTGTGTTTTTTTTTAAATGATAAATTTTGTCAAATGAAGTTTATTAATTTAGGTAAACAGACATCAACATGGAAGTAGTGGTAGTCCAATGAGAATTGAGCTGCAACAATGAAATCATAGTAAATCGGTCATTGGTATAAAGCTTCTTTTTGCCGATCCATCTGGTATGGTCCTATTATGTCTGAGTGAGTGGGTTGTCCATCATTGGCTTAATCGGTGGGTGCAACCTCACGTCAGTGGGTCATTTGGTTTTAGTGCCTAGACTCTTTGTGCTTTTATAGACACTTAGACATATAGTTAGCATAATAAACAGTGGTCAATTCATATGGGAAAAAATTAAGAATGCATCCAAGATCCCCTTCCCATCTTTTCCCAAAACTAATAAGTATGTAGTACAATGCATAAAAAAGTACATGGACAATGTTTTCATATGTTCCTGCCGGACTCAAGCCCTGATCATGACCATTGTATTAAAATGTTAAAACCCACGTTTCATTTTTTTTATTCTATAGGCTTTAGTCAATACCGACTAAGTCAATTTCAACTTGTCAGCTTTGATATCAACTCAAGTCCACTGTTTACTTATCATGACAAAAATACTATACAACGGGTGTATAGAGTGAGAGATTATGAGATTGGTGACAACATTTCATCTGTCACAATTACAGCAAACAACGTGGAAAAGATTCTCACTTTGTGTGAAGTTGAAATTTATGGAGGTGAGTTCAAGCAGAGATGAGAGTAAAAAGAATTACTGTTATTACGCTTTCATTTTCAACTGTAACTTATTTTGATATTTGATCTTTAAGTGATTCTCATTGTTATTATGAGATATTGTAAGTAAATTATGGGTAAGTCTATAAGTTATTGTTTTGGCAATGCTATGAGATGGAGTTTAAGCGGCAATAAACAAGTGACCAAGATCATTAGAGTATTGCACTAATCTTTTTAACATCAAAATACAAAATTAACCATAAAGTTATGGACTCAGTGCTGCAGTGCTTTGCATCACAAAAGTGTCTTTAGTTTCTCTAAACGAGATCTTATTTTGAATGAGATTTCGGTACTAATTTAAAACTATTTGTTTCTTTTCTTTTTATTAATTCATTTAACTACACCTTTAGTTATATCAGTGTTTCTCAAACTGGAGTCCGCGATCCCGGAGGGGACCGAGAAGCGTTTTTGGGTGGGAGGGGTCGTGAAGGTGTCATTACGAAATCAATTTTGTGTTTTTATTAGTTTTGCTGCATGGTAGCTATGTCCCATGACACTTTATATAATCACTAAAAATTTTGAGAACCTCTAGTAAAGTGCGGTGTTATAGGCACATTTATTTTACAGAATCCAGCAGAGAGTGCGTCGTTTTTTGAGACCACTGTCAACGAAAGATTTCTGAGAACACAGTACCAGAAATCTTTTGCACATGGTGAAGCGTAAACAATCTGAGGAGTCATTGCAGTTAGCACCTATCTCTCAGATTTCCAACAGCCGGCCTTTCAATTCTTAGAATTTGAGAGATAAACTTTGACCTAACCAGGGGATTGCTCATAGGGGTGTGTGGAGTTTACCTCTCCAAACTCTCGTCGTGCCACCGTAATTTCTACGGTCCTCTGCCTGAGAGAGATTGTGTGTAAAAACTTTCGCCATTCTTTTTATGCCTAGCTGCTGATTTCTTTTCAACTGTTTTTTTTTTTTTTTACTTTGTAAATTTTTTTTTTAAATAAAGCTAGTTATACTTTGAATTTTCTATTATTTTTTTTATTTGGCCGATTTAATCCAGTTTTTTTTTGTTTTAAAATTTTTAGCTTTTTTTTTTGATTGTGTGTAAAAACTTTCGCCATTCTTTTTATGCCTAGCTGCTGATTTCTTTTCAACTGTTTTTTTTTTTTTTACTTTGTAAATTTTTTTTCTAAATAAAGCTAGTTATACTTTGAATGTTCTATTATCTTATTTAATTGGCCGATTAAATCCAGTTTTTGATTGTTTTAAAATATTTAGCATTTTTTTTAATATTGTAATATTAACCTCCAAATATTTTAATTATATAAGTCGTTTCATATTTGAAATTTGGTTTTACTGTAATAAAGTTTAGCTGAGAAGTAAAACAACCTTGTCTTTTGTGATCAGTTGTGTTTGCATCCACTTCTCTAAATCCCAGCAAGATAAAGAGATATTTAAAAACGAATCTTCTAGGCTCAATATACAAAGATGTCGACTTCTTTAAACGCCAAGCCGAACGATTGCACAAAACTGGGCTTGATGTCAAAGGAACGTTTTCACAGAACATTAAGGCTTGTCTAAAAGTCTCCTATGCGTTTTAAGGACATTAGCTGCTGCAAAAAAACAACAAAACAAAACCACACCATCAGTGAACAGTTGATATTACCTTGCTGCAAAGATATCTTATTGAATGTGCTGGGAAATTCTGAACTTGAAAAGCTAAAGCATGTTTTTCTGTCAAACGAATATGTTAGGAGGCGAATAGCTGAGATATCTGATTATATACTGTCTCAGTTGGTCTCGAAGATTCATAATTCGATATACTACTTCTTTGCTATCCAACTTGATTAAATGATGGATGTAGCCAAATTATCTCAACTTTGTGCCTACGTACGATGCTAACATGACAATCGACTATGCTTGAATGCCTTTCTGGTTCTCAAAATTTAGTTCAGCAAAAATCCCCAAACATTATTGGTGCACTCTTTATCTCCAAGACTTAATTGTGAAAACCAGGTCAAAAAGTGTTTAAAAATATGTGTTGTTAAAAATGCCCCAATTTCAACAGCTGCAGACAAGGTTTGATGAAAACGAGTTTCAGTTGATGACAAAGTCCTTGATGTGATCAAACAACATGTATTAATTCTTAACGACTAAATTTCTCATTATTTCATGATCTACGAGAAATTGAAAAATACCGTTGCTTTCTCAACAATCCGTTTGTACGTTTGAAAAGTGATCTGCCTTCGGAGGACAATTTAATTACGGATACTTTATCGATTTGATGATTGATGGGGGTGCAATACATGCTTTCTGTAAAATGAGTTGTGATTTTTTGTTATTGAAATGGCACAGTCCTATGCTGATGTTGCTAAGAGGGCTCTGAGAGTGTTGATTCCATTAGCAACCAACTATGAGCGTGAGAAGGCTATTTCCAATTGACTTGATATCAAAACTAATTCTTAAACAGTTAAGATACAAAAACTGGCGAAAAATAAAGGCAAGAAATCCAAACCTAGAACAACTGGTTGAGACAAAGCGGATGTACCGATCTCATTGCATGCACCGATCTCATTACATGCACCGACCTCATTACATGCACCGACCTCATTGCATGCACCGATCTCATTGCATGCACCGATCTCATTGCATGCACCGATCTCATTGCATGCACCGATCTCATTGCATGCACCGATCTCATTGCATGCACCGATCTCATTGCATGCACCGATCTCATTGCATGCACCGATCTCATTGCATGCACCGATCTCATTGCATGCACATTTGATGACTAAGTCTTGCCATTTTCCGAATAAATAATTATTTGTCAAAAATATGTTTTGGTAACAGCAGCCTATATGTTAATTGTATTTAATTGTAAAGAGCCTGTGAGTCATCTAAAAGATTGCAAAGATACTGTAATGCAAGAAAACCTGAACAAGTTTGAGAACCACTCAGTTAAAAATAGTTTAAAACACACCTGTAACCTTACTGCTAAATAATAATAAGGTGATTAAATGGATTCATCATATTTAAAGAAAAATGAACTATTTATTTTAATTTTGCATAGTGAGTCACACAATTGCAGTCATTTAAATTTTAAGTTAAAAATAAAAAAGTTATTTGAGGTAATTTATTTTATTTTCTAATCTCAAGTAATTCAGTTAAGTTCAAATTGTTCTAAATTATAAAACAGACATCATTTTAAAAGCAAAAACAAACAAAATGTGCGTATAAATTCATCTTACTCATGATTAATGTTAATGGATGTCACGAGATGATTCAAATATACATGAATAAAGATTTTGCTTCATTTTTTATTACTTTATGGTAAAAGTTGTAATTTTAAATTTAAAAAAAAGGTGCCTTTTACATTGTATGCAATTTTAACATCAAACTCCCAGATGTTATCTGCAGTCCTGGATACTACGGTCCAGAATGTAATCTGACCTGTAACTGTGAAAATAAAAGTGAAAAATGTTTGGTCAGCACTGGTGTGTGTCCATCTGGATGTCCAGCTGGTTATATTGGTGAAGGGTGCAAGACAAGTAAGTGGACTCTGGATTTACTTTGTAAGTTTGTGTTAATGTGTTTACTTGGCATTTTGAAATGTCACCTTTTAAACTTTGAAATATAAACAAGGGGTTACTCAGTTTTCAGCTGGATAATGATATGCCCCTTACAATAGAATAAATTTAACATAACACATTTAATATGAAATTGTACATAAGTACAGTCTATTTAGCCCTATTAAGAGACTGCATACACATAACTTCTTCTTCTTCTATATCTTAAGGGCCCACGATCAATTTATTGATCATTTTGGCTCCTATGCATGTAGATGGGATTTGCAATGTTTCTGTTCCTGGTGTTGATGAGGAAATTTCACAGATTTCCAGTGCCACTTTGTGAGGGAATCATGCACTGGGGGTTTGAAGGCTTGAGGCAATAGACACAAATGTGTCTAGTGTTGTCGCCTCAACCGTTCCTTTTGAAAGATTGTTCCAGTCCCTGATTGTCTTGGGCAGGAATGAGCAGCTCCTATACTGGCTTCTTGCTGGTATGAGCCTGAATTGCCTGTCATGGCCTCGTCGCTGCCTATGAGGGAGAGGGACGAGTTTCTGTTTAATACTGGAACAGTGGACCAGCCCATTATTTATCTTGTAAATCATGGAGAGCCTGCATTGTCGTCGTCGTTTCTCCAATGGTGACCAGCCTAGTGTTTCCAGCATGCTGCCAAGTTTCTTCAACATTTCAACCCCCCCAAAATGTATTCAGATTTAAATTAGATGATATGCTTTATTAATAAAAAAATTCTATAACTTTTGGAATACTGAATGATACATAATATATAAAAGTGTGAATTACGATGTATAAATAAAAATAATAACACAGCTAAGGCCACGAAAAAGTAGCCAAGATTTTGGTGAACGCATGACAAGATGAAAAAGCGAGTGACTTTTTAGTCCCTTACCGACAAGTTGCAGCAGATTTTAGGACCACTGCGGTCCCCGTCAATGGTCCCCGTCAATGGTCCCACCATCTAGCGTAACTTGTCGGTGAGTGAATGAAAAGCAAGTTTTTTCTTCTTCCCCTTCTTCTATATTTTGAGTGCCCGCGATCAATGGATTAAGCATTCTGGCTGCTATGTTTCAGAGGTGTTCGCGATGTTTCTGTGCATGGTCTTAAAGGGGATACTTCACTGGTTTCAAGGGCTACTCAACAGTGATGTTACGAACTTGGGGTTGGAAGACAGAAGGCAATAGACACAAATGTGTCGAGTGTAGTCACCTCATGTGTTTCTGTAGCAGTTAAGTACAAAGCGTGCTGCCCGTAGCTGGACCGCCTCCAACCTGTCGATGCTTTTCTTGGTAAATGGGTCCCAGACTGTAGATGCGTACTCTGAAACCTCTCGGACAAAGGCTTTATATGCTTTTTCTTTCACGCTTGAGTTGTTGATCTTCAGATTTTTCCTTAGGAACTATCGGGTCTTGTTTGCCTGATGGCAGATCTGAAGTTTGAGAACTATCAGGAGTTTTATCTAAATCATTTCAAATTTTTCAAGCAATTTATGTGTTTTTAATTCAATTATTTTCGTCTTACCTAAGTCACTTATATTTTACAACAACAATTTTAATACATGTTTCTTTTATTACTTGAACTTGTTAAAAATTACAGTATGTGATGATGGCTTCTATGGTAAAAACTGTCTCAACAAATGCTCAGAGCATTGCTCGAATGTGGCTTGTAATGTCACCAGTGGTGCCTGCAGCTGTAAACCTGGATACCAAGGAGACAAGTGTGTACAAGGTTGGTTATTTATCAGCTTTGAACTTAAGCTTATACATATGGCATGGCCCAGTTAAACATCTTCAAAACTTCTATAAGCTTATAATTCCACGCCAATGTTGCAGGGCCCTGTTAAAAAAACAAAAACTTTACTTATCCTATAGTGCTTGCTTTCATTTCCTTTTTGCAGAAAATTTAATACCATTTAAAATTGATGCAAATCTAGTCATTTTCACACCTGAAAGAAGTTGTCTGAAATAGTGTTACCTCTGGACTAAGCAAAGTATCCCTGATATAGTGTTAAGTCTGAACTAATCAAATTGTCACCATAATTTTCAGCTTGTGATGCAGGCTTTTATGGCACAAATTGTTCAACTTTATGCTCACAGCACTGTAGCAATGATGAATGCAATAACACAAATGGTTACTGCAGCTGTAAGGCTGGATTCATAGGTGATTTGTGCATTCAAGGTAAATCAATGAGTTATATTATTTAAATATATATATTAATATTATCCAAATTGCACTTTTAAATCCCAAACATTTATAAAGAAACATAAACAAAAATGTTGGTATCAATGTGTGTAATTTAGAAAAGTTCATATATTGTTTTATTAGAGCTGAAAATCTAAATCCCACAATTACTTCTGTTCAGTAGCTTTAGTTTACATATTATATTTAAAGTGTTTATAAAAATATTGTTTTATTGGTTAGACGGTCAGATACATGAACCAATATGACCAGCTTTACAGATAGCTTTTCAAAATGAAACTCTGACACAGAATTTCACATTGGCAAATTTACTAACTTTCATTTTTTTGCCTTCATTTAATTAAAGCTGGACTGCTCATTCTATTTACAGTTTGCCCAGAAACTTTCTATGGCCAAAACTGTTCACAACGCTGTAGTGTTAACTGTACCAGGCAACAATGTGATGCAGTTGATGGACGATGCAATTCTTGCATCCCGGGAAAAACTGGAAAACTTTGCGATGCTAGTGAGAAGAAAATAAATTCTTACCTAAAACAATAAAGGCTTCGATTGCTTTATGATAAATCAGCTATTGCAACAAGCT